AGCGTATTTACAGATAATTAATCACCTTTAGGTCAAATAAAAGGAAGGGAATCCTCTCCGGATTCACTTTGTGGGGGATCCCTAGCCGTTCATTGTACATTATGGGGCAAGTTTTCGTCAGATATTATTTATGTTTAATTTTAAATAAAAAAAAAGTCAAATGATTTCTGATCACATGATGAACGATGAATAATTAAAATGTGGAGATTCCTAGGATCCCCACAAAGTGGATCCGGATGGGATCTAGTTCCCAAATAAAAAAGTGTTGTCAGTAACTTTTGAGTAAGACTCCCCAATTAAAATTGGAGTAGGATTCTCTTCTCTCTTTTTTTCCCTACCCTTCCCTCCTCTCCTATTTAAGCGGTCATGGTTAAGCCACGTTAACATCTTCTTTTAATTTTTTATAATAAGAGAAAGACAAAATAAGAGAATATGAGAGGAGGGAATGGAAGGAGATGAAAAGAGGAGAGGAGAGAATCCTAGTCCATTAAAATCACACTCTAATTCAATTGACATGCACATCTACAACAACTCAAACATGGAAAACAAGTATATGATATTATTATAGCCTCATTATCAAAACATTTGAAAAGTCGAAAGTAAACTCAGAAATCACATCTTTGCCAATTCAAATGAAGGGGCAAATCTTGACTAAGAGATGAAGAAAAAAATGTAAACAAAAATAGGCATATATAATATAGCTAATACCTCATGCTTGTCCCATGGAAAATACTTATCTTCTTATATGTAAGGAGTTATTAGTTTTTTATTTGATGACAACGATGTGACATCATTTTATCGTACAAATGTCATAACGGAAATTGTTTCTTGTCCCATTACCATTTGGTAGTGGAGGAGATAGATCAACTATTTCTAAGAAATCTTTGGTTTCGACCAGGGTATCGGCACAATGAACTTCATATAGCGTGCCATAGAGCAGTGGTACAAAGAACAATCATGATTCCTTGTAGAAAGTTTCAATCTCTCGAGTGTTCGAGTATTCATATTTAGGAGCTCCAAAATCACAGTCAACGTCGAATGCAATTTATGTATATGGTCCATAGGAGCTCATGAATTGTTTTGATTAATTGTACACATTTTTTCTGTCGCCAATGGTTGTTGGCCAACAACTTACATAGTCTCCCTCCCACATGATTCTCAGGATTTCTAAGAATCATAACCTAAGTTGGTCATGCACAGTCTTCCCTAGAAGAGCTACACGTTCCTTCGCCTCGATCAACTAGTCCTCCAAGGGTAGGCCTGTCGAGAGACTGGAAGTTCAAAACGATTCGGGGAGTAGGATTGCACTGTATCTCTCATCTCCAACCTAAACACCAAAATACAATTAGCATTACTCTTAAAACTCAACCAATATATATTCCCATTAAGAAATTAACCTGCATTATGAAATAACCAGTTATGCAAACTAAATCCTAGACATTAATATTTAGCAGAAATATAAAGAGTGTAAGCACGGTGTGGATTTAATGAGGCAAAACCCACCACTGAAAAAAATCATCTGGTTTCCAAGCCATAAAATACTAAGAGATGAACGAATACAAAAAAACTTAGAAAACTCATCAACCAAACACATATACTAGTTGGCATTGTTACTCGATCTCTCTTCAGCTTTCGATAGAAAGTGGCACGACATTAATGCGACCGTCAATCACCTTCATCTTGAACTTTGAAGAATACTAACGCAATCATGCACAATGTGTGTGTGTGTGTATATATATATATAATGAAATGATTATTAAAAAACAAATCAATTACATAAACCACAAGACACATTTTCATAATTGATTTTTAGTTAAAGCACAATGAAAAATCAGTGATCAAAAAATAATTTTTTTTTTTTTTAAGAAACTCACGGATAACAAATTGATTTTTTCTTTGAGAATTATTATTGGCACTTTAAAATTTTCATTTTACACTTCAAATTTTCTATATAAAGAAAAATACACTATTAAAGAGTGTAAATAAAAAATTTTAAATGCTAATAACAATTTTTTTTTTTTAAATACTTTTAAAACTATTATGTGCTCTCCGGCTCCTATCAAACTTCCTTTAAAAAATAACACTAGTCAATGAAAAAGCAAACTGACATTCTTTCGCAAAAAGAAGCAGCGGGATGCTCGATTCTTTTTGTGATAATCTTAGAGATTATTTAATCATTATGTTTATTATATATTGTGCGATCAGAAATTATTGTAATTTTTTTATTTAAAATTAAATATAAACAATATTTAATAAAAACTAATAACATAATATACGATGAACGAATGTAATTAAAAAATATATAAAATCCTCAAACAATTCTTTGGAGAAAACTCACTGTACAAGACGTTTGTTGAAAAGCCGGTGAATAAAGCTGCACACCTTTTTGTTGTCTTTCAAAAACACGCAGCAACCCAAAAAAAAGCCTATGAAAAAAGCTGCACACCTTTTTTGTTGTGCATGATGAACTTGCTTAAATAAATGTCTTTGAAACGTTGGACATTAAATACGACAGATAAATTTAAACTAAAATAATTAAAAACACAATCGACAGAAGTCTAAATATTACAGACGGGCATATTCATGGGAATACCAATGTGACACTAAAAATCTTCCCTTTTGACTTTGCTAGGCTAAACCCTCTCTAGCAAAAGTTATAACAATAAATCATCATCATTGAACACAAAAACCCAAAAATACCAGAGAGTCCATCAAAGCAAAATAGCTGTCGCGTACAAAAGATAGAAGTTGCAATAATAAAAATAAAAAAAGGTAAACCAGCGATTTGCTTCTTAAATTATCACTTAATTTTTTATTTTCCTCTAAACATTTTAATTGGAAAATTAAGAATTTAAACTAATTTTTTTGACCGATTTGCTCATGCTGTTAATTTTTCATTCATTTCATCTAAATTTCTGTTAAATGGAAGCATATGGACAACATGTGTGAGTAGTTCAGTCGCTTCATTCTTTAAAATAATTAAAAACCTTAGATTTATGAAATATAAACCTATACAAATATGTGTGATTCTATAGCTTTTGTGTCTGAAGGTCTAGTGAAGTGATGTTTTTGTCTACAAATGAGAGTTATGTGGTTTGCACATGATAAGAGTTATTGTTAATTTGGATGAAATTTATGAAAAACTAACGGTAGGGGGGGAATCGGCCAACAAAATTAGTTTAAGTCCTTAATTTTCCAATTAAAAAGTTTAGAGAGGAAATTGAAAGTTGGGTGATAGTTTAGGAAGCAAATCGGCAGTTTACTCAAATAAAAATACTCTTTATTCAGAAATCAAGACAACCAAACAAACATCTTTTCACGTCCAAACATAAGCAAATCTCTCTAGCTTAGGGATGAAGAGAGAAGGGAACAAGGAACTCGCAAAGACCGTATGGGTCAGGGGTTATGCTCTACTATTAAAAGAGAGTCAAGGTGTTAAGAGACAACGTTCCTTTAGCTTTTTAGGGTTTCCTAATTTCTTCTATTTTGCAAAATGTGGGCTTCCTTCATGTGTCGGTTAATAGACCCAATGTGCAAGCATTATAACAAACAAAAAGAAAATGAGAAAAATAAAAGCCTTCTTCTAGATAAGGTTAGGGTTTAGAGATTGGAAGGTTTAGTTAGGGTTTAGAACTTTAGAGATTAGAATGTTTAGACTTTAGAGCTAGGGTTTATAATTGACCCATTGGGGCTTTAGGGTTAGACATGAGTCATATATATTTCGTCCCGAGGTTAACCATAGGCCATGATCAGTGTAGGTTTTAGTTAATAAGGTTAGCGCTTGGTGAAAGGTGACCCAAAAATATGTGATAGACATGAACAAAATTATTCATCAAAATCAGACGTTAAAACAGAGAGAGTTAGAAAATACGGACAACGGTACAACATGGGATTAAGTTGGAGGACTATATCACCTAATATAAGAGTTTAAAGACTAAAATTAAACTCGAGGTGAAGTTCAGCAGCTATTACTACAATTAAGTCTTGAGTAAATTGTAGAAATGGTCCCTTAACTTTAATCCAACTGGAGCAATGGTCCCTCAACTCATCAAAACATGCAGCTATGATCCCTCAACTAAAAATCCATTACCATTAGTCCCCCAACTTTAATCTAACTGGAGAAACGGTCTCTCAACTTGAACTCAATTGTAGCAATGGTCATTCCAACATAACTCATTTTGATAAGAGTAAATTATAGCAATGGTCCCTTGACTTTAACTCAATTGGAGTAATGATCCCTCAACTAAAAATCCATTACCATTGGTCCATCAACTCATCAAAATGTGCAACTATGGTCCCTCAACTAAAAATTCATTACCATTGGTCTCTCAACTTTAATCCAACTCGAGAAATGGTCTTTCAACTTTAACCCAATTGAATCAATGGTCCCTTATCTTTAACCCAATTGTAGTAATGGTCATTCCAACATAACTCATTTTGACAAAATTCTGATGAAGTTGACGAAAATGACCATAACTATACGTTTTGATGAGTTGAGACCCCAATTGTAGCAATGGTCCTTCTAATATAACTTATTTTGACAAAATTCTAACGAAGTTGATGAAAAGGACCATAGCTACACATTTTGATGAGTTGATGGACCAATGGTAATGGATTTTTAGTTGAGGGATTATTGCTACAATTTACTCTTTTGACAAAATTCTAACAAAGTTGACGAAAATGACCATAGCTACACGTTTTGATGAGTTGAGGGATCCCAATTGTAGCAATGATCCTTCTAACATAACTTATTTTAACAAAATTCTAAAGAAGTTGACGAAAATGACCATCACTACACATTTTGATGAGTAGAGGGACCAATGTTAATGGATTTTTAGTTAAGGGACCATTGCTCCAATTTGATTAAAGTTGAGGGACAATTGCTACAACTTACTCATTAAATCTTTTATACATTCTCCTATTCCCACCATTATGCTGCAATCTACTCGTACTACAAATTCCCTCATAAGTTACACAATCAATACGTATGACAGCTGAGATGAGTTTTGAAAATCGGTATAACAAAATCATTGAGCAAAACCAGGCCAGTACAAAGAAGAATAATTGTTGGCTAACATATCTAGTAAAGTATAACCAAGAACTTTAATGTACAAGATATGCAACTACGTGTAGCTGCATTTCAAATAATCCTACTAATATTTCTCCCTGGTGTTATGTTCTTTATCCGGGGCAGGTTTGTCGAACGAGAAATCATTTGGAATAGTGGTCTGTTCCCCATCGTGGGGTTCATTTATCTCGGTCTGTTGCTCAAATGGATCCACTCTTACAATCAAGTTTGTTGATGAAGGTGACAGGGGATCAGTTTCGAGATCAGATGTCTCATGGTCCTCAAAGGCTGCTGAGCGAGTTGAGTGACCAGTAGTTTTGAAGCGATGCAGTGTTGGTCCTCCCGAGGATGAGGAGTCCTTCGTTGAAATGGTGGAGCTTCCACCACCCAGGGTTCGAGCAGGAGACTTGCTTCCGTGCGTCTTCTTTTTCACCGCCATGTGCCACTTTTTGAGGGCCTTGGATGTTTGTTCATCGAAGATGGATTTTTTCATGTGTGAGCCCATCTGCAACGTCCACCACAACAAATGTGCATCCAGTTTAATCATATAAAGAAAGAGATTGGAGGGAAATTCTAATGCATAACACTAATATTTCTAGTGCTTGACAACATCTTGACACCGGGGGTTGGTGAGAGCTCAATACCATGCCTCCACCTCCGCATAAAATTTCTAGTGAACTTCACTACATGAAGAAACGCGGGATTGAGAAAATAAACGAAAATAATACCTGAGTTACAAGGGCATATAGAGGAAGTGTAATGTAGCTGCACAAACAGAGAACCCCAACCCTGCAAAATATTTTCCAAATAATTTTACATACCAATCTAATGAAATATAAATACTTATCAATTTGACCTCACCAATCCCATTAGAGCCAAGCAAGAACATAATAAATCAAGGGAGAAAATGCTTACCCGAGAATTACTTTAGCGATTGCGAGCTTGAAATTGGCATGGAAGCAAGAATTCAACCCAAATGAATACTGCAGCAAAGTTTCATTCGAGATTTGAGTATTAGACGTGAAATGCACTTCAAAGTTCAAAGAGTGATAGAAATATTAAGTGAGAACAGAGCATTTACCCATATCCAGAAAAAGTAAATAATTTGGAATGCGTTCTGCATGTACCAGAAAACTGATTAGACGACCAGTAAAATAAAATATGAGAGAAATCCACACAACACTCGAGAAATTGATACAAATTCAGAAGTTGGTCGATATGCAGGACGGATACAAGATTTAGAGACCGGTCAGCAGTAAAATTAGATATTGATTACCCATTAACATGAAAGTACGGTTCAAGGATCATCTCCTGGCCTAAAATAACATAGATATCTGGTAGCAACAATTTAGGATGAATACTTTTGTGTTCTTCCTTTGAACTTTCTCTTCTTGGAATGGAATTTAACGGAATCCCCATGAATAGGGTCAACCCTTATTCCATGGTATTTACATGATATTTCTCTTTCTTATTCTTAAACAAGTCCCTGAGAGGTTTTAGTTGATCCACAATTTAGAATGAAATTAACCAGCCACAAACATGTGGGATCTTTATTTAACACGAACTTTTCAATCTCTCAACCAATAAAAAACCAGGACTTGTTTGAAAATTTAACATAGAATCAACACCAAATCAACAACTCTTAAGGTCGAATGCTCTTTACTAAAGTTTCCAGCAAACAATAACACCATTATCTACCTTCGTTCGTGATTTTTGACTTTTCTAATGTAGGAAAGTGTTTAAGATGATAAAGAGCAAATCCTGGATCTAGAGTCTGCAAAAGAGAAGGCAATCCAATACCTGAAACAGTGCGAAATGGATAAGATTAAGAATCAAATGAGGCCGACCAAACCAAAAGTATTTGTCGGAGCCTTGTACTAGAGGAATCCCTTGAACCACTGCATGCCTTTCGCTAATTTCAAGAGCCATTTTTGTCAGGATGGCTTGAAGTTTTGTTCCAACAAGTAAGATTATCTGAAATTATGTAAATGGTCAGAAACTTCAGGTTTTTCAACTAATCGCAATTAATCTTTCACAGGAATACAATTTCTTACCATGAGAGGGATCAAGGATGCCCAAAATAGTAACTGCCATCCTGAAAGAACATTATTATACAGGAAAGTCAATCAACGACACTGAACTTTAAAGTCGGAATAATATTTCGCAAAGGATTTTTTTTGGAAAGAAGTAGCTTACCATTGACATTAAGGAGCAAAAAGATCACAAATGATGCCCACAATACAGGACTGCCAACGAAATGAACAAATAATTCAGAACGAACTAAACGAGGCAAGATTGGCTTGTGAAATCTACACTGGTGAAAGAATAAGAAGCAGATAATAAATATTGCTATTACCTAACTCCAACGACAACCTTGAAGTCATCCTCTAATGATCTCTTGATATATTTTTGGAAGTTAAATTTACTTCCTGCGCCTAAATGAACCTGTAAATATGGCATTTCTATAATATGAAATGACACATTCAATATGGAATTCTGAAATTTGTGAAATTGATGAAACTTACAGTGATGAATCCATTGCGCACTGTTAAGTAGTCAGACTTACTAACTGACTTAAAAAATTGTCGAAAGAAACATCCCTGCAAAACATAAATTTTCCAGAAGCTCAGGTTTAACATATACTATGAGAACAAATCCAGAACCTTGAGATTACCAACATGACGAACAACAAAGAAAAAAAATGTTGGAGACTTACAACATAAAAGAAGAATGGAATCCTAGTCCAGAAACTGGTGTGTGCTCTAACAAATGATGTCTCATGAGTAAGTCTGAATCTCGAAGGATCTGGCATGAACACATAGTCAAATTTAGCTTCCAACATAGATCTTTGCTGTCAAGGCATAAGATTCGAATATTTGTATTGACAACTGGGGGATGAATGCGTCAAAGGATTATATACCGTTGGAGAACTCATAGTTATGAGTTGAAGTCTCTGCCTCCCAATGCTTCCAGCCTCGAATCTGTATAAAAGAAGCATTCAGCAAATATGGAACATATCACTGAAGGCAAATTTAATAAACTTTTAGCAAAATAAGGTAGATTGATTAACAACTAACATGGTCTGATTCAAGTTCCTTAGTTTCAAAAAGGCACAAGAGACTTCATATGTCGATATCCAGCCAATTTCCCTACCTTTAGCCTCCCGAGCAGCATTGTGATAAGACTGTATATCACGTGAAAGACCGCCAAGAAGAATATGAGGATGTGCAGTTGGTGCAATCCATTAACTGATATAAGTGGCTCGTATCCCTGTTAACAAGAATCTGATCATGACCAGTTCTCAATTGTTAATAAAACTGCTTAAGTTCAGTGGTGAGGAGGAGGATGAACTTACAGTCTTGCATTTATAACCAGAGGCAGTAGCTAAAGATCTGCGTTCGTACCATAAGAGTCTCCGGCGACTAGCTGTTGAGTCCTCCTCCTCATCAGCCACGCTACATGGCAGCATTGTGTCTCCAACCTTTAGTGGAATACAAATTTTGGCAATGTAACTCTGCCCGAAAGTCAGGATCAGCGAAATAAAACCTAGAATCATCAACTCTGCAACAATTTCACAAAGTCAAATGTCCATCCATAACTTGATATTTCTTGCAAAGTTTCAAATCAGAAACCATTGAATCAGTTTCATGGACAAACAGGATTATTACCAGCTTTAACCTTCTCAAGAGCTTCAAACAGCGCTTTCTTGTGCCTATCCGTAAGCCACTGAATCGAAAGTTTTTTTTTTTTTGAGTAAGAAGAAAGCTAATAAAAAAGCACATTAAGCCATATTGTCAAATTAGCAAATTGTTCTTAACACAACACATTTACTTACTGGTTTCAAGTAAGCATTTGTACCGAAACAATACCAAAAATGAAAGAATACGAAAAGTAAATGTAAAATTGTAAATTCATAAGCACCATGAAGGAGATAAATATGTAAGATTAAACATATTTAAGAATTATTGACATGAACCCTTTTCCCTTTCACTAAAATTCAAGCATTTCACACTTTCTTTTCCACTAAACAACTTAATAAATCATTAATTAACACAACGATCAGAATAAAATTATAATTTTTTAACCCAAAAGAAAAGGATGTTATAAACAAAACGGACCCCAGAAAACTAATATGTTTCATTTCATCTTCCGAGAAAAAGAAAAACAGAAAACTTGTAGCAGAAAGTGAAACAATGCTAGTACACAGAAAACTTGAGCTGCGATCTAAAATTTTGCAGCAAATTAACCATGGCAGCTATGTGAACAAAACCAGTTACTCAGTAAAACTGTAAAAAACGGACCACAATTGAAAAAGGGTAGATTGTTTAACTGCAGTTGCAGATAAATTAAATTTACCGTTCCAGCTTTGTGAAGGACCTTCTCCAAAGCAAATGAGATGATGATGATAACAGCACAGACACCAGCAACAGCCCAGGTGGGTGTACGGTCGAGCTCCCTCGCGTGCGAGGTGGTCTCTTCTGCTCCCATGGCCGTACCCAGCAACCCAGCAACAATGCAGAAGCTCACACCCAGCAGAGAGAGAGGCGCCATCTTTTCGGTTCTTGAGCTTCAGAGAGAGAGAGAGAGAGAACAGAGGCGGCTGTGCTGCAATTGAACAATCTGGGCCACCTTAATTTTTGGAAAGATGCTGACTTTACTGAATTTCCTTCCTGGGTAATCTGCGTGATCTGCGGAGATGGAAATTCGAGTGGTCTGCGGAGAAAGAAATTCGAAGACTGAGGCTTTAAGAACAATGGAGAATGCTGAGTTGATGATTTGGTGATTAGGACAGGACACGGTTTCTTAACCCCAGTTTCCAAGTTAATTCCTTTTTTTTTTTCAAAAAGCAGCAGTTTTGGTTTGGTGAAAAGGATGAGATTAAATAATCTGAATGTCTTAAATACGCGGTTAAACAAAACACTAAGCAGATTAATTAAAAAAGTTGGCAGCGTTTTAGTGGATTAAGGCAGATTTGCTTGCATTGTGGCACTCTTTAGGGAAAGAGGTTATCTTCGGATCTCTTCCATCAAGAATACCAAATGTAATCCAAATTCTTTAAATTTTATCAAACTATTAAAATTAAAAAAGATTACTATTTTAACTATTGGATTAAGTTTTAAAGATATTGGATGATCTTGACGAAAGAAAACAGGAGAGATCTCTTTCCAGGAGGACAATTTTATTGTCTGAATCGACCTCATTCAGGTGAGTTGCTTACGTCAGACACTTTATGGGGGCTTTTACTTCTTCAGTTTGGTACTGTTGTCGGTTGGCTGAACAAACAGGCCTTGTCCTTTGACACTCATTAAAAAACAAAAAACAAAAAAAAAAAAACAAAACATAAAAAGGACATGGGAACGCGTGGATGAATTGTGATTTATATTGTTTTTTTAACTCATTAAATAAGTTTATTACACACTAATTCAGTCTATTCAGACCAGAAAATAAGACAACTGGTGATTAAATTAATGGAAGAGGATCTTGCGGGATGATTTTTCTGAGGATTCTAAGGATCTCGTGATCGAAATCATTTATTGTATATTGTGTGGTTAATTTTTATTAGATACTATTTATATTTAATTTAAAAATAATTTATAACCGCATGATATACGATGAACAATCTCAATCATAAAATCTATAGAATCCCAAAGAAAAAGATCCGGAAAGGATCCTTTTCCCAAACTAATGGCATAAATGATCAGTTCTCTATTCCTTTTTAGAGAAAGAGGTCGTGTCCGGCAAGGAATTGATATTCATTCTAAATCTCAATATTCAGAGTCCAAGATCTTGAAATTGGACCATTTTATTTTAATTTTACCTTCTTCATTGTCCCATTTCGCTAATCCATCTCATAAAATACTAAAAATTTAAATAATTTGAATGTATTTCTCTCTTTTTAATGGTCGGGATTTTAGAGTCTATGGATTCTAGGTATTGAAATCTAAAGAGAATCTCTTTTTCCCGTAAGCAAGTGGGAGTTTAAAAAAAAAAAAAAAAAAAAAAGACATTTTCATTCCTTCAATATGATATGAGAAAGTGCTGCTGTTGCATGCATGAATCCATGATGTAAAGTTTTTTTAGTCCATTGATGGGTGTCACAAAGAACATGTGAAGAGATGGGAGTTGTTGACATTGTATAGTGGCATCTATTGTGCTTGGAATGGTGACTACAATTATTATTTTCATGATATTATTGACATTTTGGCAATTGAAGAGTACGTAAGTTTCATATTACACTTCGTAATTTCATTCATCGAAAATTAGAATTTAGATTGATTAAGCGAGAGAACTGATCATGTGCCTAAATATTAGAGGGGGCGTTGAGAGGAAGCGAAAGGTGCAGTCGCACAGGACCTCAAATTTGATGAGGCCTCCAATTTTTTTGTCATCTAATATTTATATGTAATAATGTTCTATATTTAAAAATTGCTTTTGTTATGTAATAATGTTCTATATTTAAAAATTGGGAATTGTTATTTGCACTTCAAAATTCACATTCTACACTCCAAATTTTCTATATTTAGAATGAAAATTACACTTGTGAGGAGTGTAGAATGAGATTTTTGGAGTGCCATTAACACTTCTCTAAAAATTATTTTTGTTAGCACTTTAAATTTCATTGTGCACTCATTATAATCATAATTTTTTCATTTAAATATAAAAATTTGGAGTATAATGAGATATTTTGAGTGCAAATAATAACACCTTAAAAATGATTTTTTTTTTCAATTTTATTATATAATAATGTTATATATTCAAGTGAAACTTCAAAGTTAGAGCTTTTGAAGTTTTTTTTTTTTTTTTTTAAGATCGAATTGCTTTTGATACTATTAGGAAAACTAATGAAAATGGCTTGAAAACTTTGAGTTTTAACAAAAATGACAAAAATGTGTTGTAAGTGAATAGTACCAGGATTGACTTTTTAGAGTAAAAATGTGGTTTTTCGTTAAAGTGAACAGTACCGGAAGTGTTTCGTTAAAGTTCCCTTGATTATTTAGTGAACATTATGTTTGTAGCTCTTTATACTTATTATTAATGACATTTTTAAACTTGCAATCAAAGAGTGCTAAACTTTGTTTTGATTTAAGTGATTATTTTCTAGCGTTAATACATTATTCTACCTTTTTTAAAACTATCCTATAGAAGGGCCCCTTTATAAATTTCGAACAGGGCCCTCAAAATCTCAGAGACGCCCTTGCTAAACATTTGTCTTTCATATTCACAACAGCTTGCTCATTCGATGCAAATGTGGATATCATTAAAATTTAACTTCCTACATCGAGTTTTGGGTTTAGACCAGCCTAATTCTTGCATGCATAATTAATTTTGTACAACATTATGTCAATTTTCCTCACCAATTGACTGTTGGTGGAAAAGTTGGCTCGATACAAGTCAAAATGAATGTGAAGAGAGTCTCACATTAGAAAAATACAACATCATATGCCATTCTTAGAAACATGGGAGTGTTGTAAGGACGTGTTATGTTGGCTTGCTTTGCTAAGGTGAAGATTGTTTTCGTAACGGATTTGCCCGAAAACAAGCAAAGATAGATGTGAAAGAGAATCTTACTCTTCTAGGGTTTAAATTGAATTGATTCGTATCTAATTGCACCGTCCATTTCCTAATTCTCTAAATAATTTTGTAACCATTTTCTAATCTGTCAATCTGTGAATTAATTCGTCGACGGGAAAAGGAAAGGTTGTAAGAAACTGACCAAACAAGAAGAACCCATGCCCATACAACCAACTTTTAGAGTATTTTTTTTCCTGTACTTAGAATAGAAGAGCAACTAGTAAGTCATGATATTCCGCTACAATTATATTTTGTGTCGATAATACAATATCACATAGATAAAAACTAACAAATTTTTTTATTTTATTAGAACGAAACATCATTATAACAGTGTACTTGTATCATATAAATCATTGCTGTACTTTAGGCTTGTAGCACATAGCTCTTAACTACGTCCTTGTCGTTTCCATTTGTAGACGTTGTAAACGACCGAAACGCATGTGCGTTAATAATGGCCATTGCTTACTTTCGGAAATGAAGCAACGTGCATGGATTGTAGCTCTAGGGTATATAAGAGTCGTGTAAAAAAATGATACAGCAACAATTCACATTAATAGAATAATGCTAGCCTACGCGTGTCGCAAGTGGTTCTTTTTTATTTTTTATTTGAAAAATCAAAAACAGAAAACAAAATAATATATATTAAAGAAAAAGTTAGTTAGTGGGTTTTTTTTTATGAATTTCTTATTTTATTTGAGAATTTAATGGGAGAGGTAATTTTGGAATTATGAATGTTTCACCTTTTTTGCTTTCTTCTTTTATATGTATAAATGATATGACGAGTGTACATTGCTAAATTAATCACACGCTTAATTAATTGATAAACTTTTCTTGCCGAAAATTAATTGGACCAAATAAATTACGTTAACTCCAATTTTGAAAATCAATAGTGGAGTTAAGCATAATTTGGTCCAGTATTTGGAGTTAGCATATTTTATTTTTTTTGGAACAAACAATATTATTTATATTAAGAAGTTGAGGGAATGTAGTAGTAATAATGTGGTTCAAATTTGCTTTTGAGAATAAACGAATCTAATACCTCTCTTACAAGTGAATCGGTATTGGAGTTGGGCATAATTGGGATCATCAACTTAGAATTAGGCATGACTGGGATCAGTTAATTACGTGGACCATATAAATACTGGACATAAAGTTGAGAGGATCCCAATTTAACACGACCAAATTATGCCTAACTTCAATTTTAATTGTTATATTAATATTATATCACAACACGAAGTTGATTATCCTGCCACAAAAAAGACTTCCTTCTTAATTGCTTTTTAGTCAACCGTATAGTTTATATATATACTGATTAAAATTTGCAAATTGATGACAAAACAAAATAATGTCGTGTGGCCCCGATGCTAATTCAAGAATTACATGGAAAATTAAGGTAATTATTGACTTGATCAAGGATTAGTCAGCTCACTAGTCACTAGTCATTCCAAATCCAATATTCTATATATAAAAAAAAAAAAAATTAAAGTTTTCTTTTTTGGAAAAATTAATGTGACATCATGTCAATCTGCCAATAAAACACAGCTTGATGATTTACCAAAAAATAAATAAATAACTAGCACAACTTGATGATTTATCCAAAATAAAAAGAAAAAAAAAATAAGCATAACTTGATGCTATTCTAGTGAATAATCCAACCAAAACTATATCTAATCAACAACCGAACGAGAATGGATCCAAGCTAGCGAATGAACGGAGTTTGTAAAAAGTAAAGGACTATAAACTATACTACCCGGAATAGGAGTCTTGGCTAGTTTGAGCTGAAAGACGAGTCGAAAAAGTCAAAAAGCAAAAATAGGCACAGTAGGCATCAACAGGAAGCAGTGCAAGAATGGGAGGACAGTTTGTCCGAGCAAGTGATAGGGATGCATTCACATTGTTCCACGGTATGGAACCAAGTGCTGAAGATTGTTTCTTGTTTCGAAAATGTGGGTCATATGTGAATGGAGGGAGGATGCCGTGTAAAATACGGTCAATGCCCTACATGTTTATATACACATCAAATTAGTTCGTATATATATTGTGTTAACACGATCACCTTCAATTGTTTTCTAGTGTGATCACTGGTAGCATTCACATTGACAGCAGTTGATTAGTTGGTATGAATAAAAGAAGTATTTTCGTGGGCTACCCTACAAAGCGACTTGAAATCCATGGAGCCACGACAGGGACAAGTATTCGATTGTTGTTGATTCAAGTTGATTTGTAACGAGTTTCTTTTATTATTTTAGACTCATTGTGAACGTGCCCCATAAACCTCGTCATGTAGGACCCCAATTGAAACTCTAGTGCTCGACCCCTTGAACCTCATGACTGTGACCAAGGAACACTAGCAACCGTGACATGGATCTGAAACTTGGACTTAAGACCTCAGTACTTGAACTTGGGCTTGAGGCTGCAAAAACCTCAAATCCGAAACCCTAGTTACAACCATTTTACTATTTTAGGTCTTGGATTTGAAACCTTATGTGTGTTATTTTACTTTTCAATTTCTTTTTTCAAGGAAAAACATGCAATTTGATTCAGTTACTTTGGAAATCAAACTCAAACTAGTATATTTATTCATGTAATCCAACCTCTCCAATCCAATGCTATCCATCGCCATATAACCCTAGTTCCTAAGCCTGTCCAATCCCAATTTACCAAAAAATGACATGTACGATTTGATGCTTCGGTCATTGAGATTTTCTTTTGGGTCAGCCCAAGAGTGGACTTGGGCCGTTCAGCCACACCAACCCAAAATTAAAGCCCGAATTATCAGACGCTCGTTATCTTGTTTTTTTTTTTTTTTTTTTTTTTATAATTAAAAAGGTTTTGAAATGTTGTTATTTTCTGGTCGTTGAAGGTTTGAAACAAGGCGATAAGTCGATTACATCGACACCCAGACTTTGTTTTCTTTTCTTTCTCTCTCTCTGATTCTTTCTGTTTCTGTGAATTGTGGAAGTTGAAAATCATGAGTGCTCTCCCGAGTTCGTTCGTTTCAGTTCAGAATCACAAAACCCGCTTCTTAACGGGTAACAATTCTTCGTCCTTTTTCTTTAATTTTTTTCAATTTAGTTTCTTATGAATATTATTTTATTTAACAAACATATTAGTCTCCGGGCTCTTTAATGCAAGCCGAGGCTCCATTTCTGAAGGGATAAATAAATTGAATGTAAGAGATGCCCATTTTATAATTGTCTGATTTTTGTGGGTTTCTATGATTATATTATATAGCATCTGTTATTGGTGCAATCCATAATCTAATTGTCTACGAAATTGATATTTTACTTAAAGCAGTTGAAAATTCATTTAAAGGGTATGATCAGACGATTTCTTAGGCATTTTACGCTTGAAAGTTGTTAACTTTGAATTCAAAGTGCACTGGGAAATTTAATTGTCCCAGCCGGTGTTTCTTGAGGCCGGTTTTCTAACCATTTCGTTTCTAGTTTTCATCGTTTTGCGCTATAGATAGATAAAGGAAAACTATATTTATATGGGAGAAAGGAGGAATGGAGAAGGTGATGGTGGAAGACAATGTGAAAGGATTCAAGTTCTCGTTTTCATATTATCTCCTTCATTTCAGCTTCCTCCCTCCCACCACCTTCATCCTTCTCCTTTGTCATTTCTCCCCTACACTTTTCTTGTATCTCTACCACAGAAAATGAAAACTAAAAATGTAATGGCTGTCGAACGGGCCCTCAGCTTCTCAATTCATCTTTCTGTTCTATGTGATTTTCCTTGTTCCTTGGCCGCTTCAACTTCTTTTCTTCGGCTTGAGATTCTGCCTACCATGTCCCAATTTCACGGTGCAAAACTTTTGGATTTGAATTTCACATTTAATTTTGTTGTTGATCATTGCCAAATGTTTGATGCTAGGTTCTCCAAAGCCAACCTACCATTGTCTTTTGAACGTAAGTCCCAGTAATTTAAATGCTGCATTTCAGGACAAAGCAAAGCTTACTTCTCATAGAAGGTCATTTGTTGTCCGAGCAGGGTATGCATACTTTTGTGCTGTCTAAAATTTTCAGCGTTTCATTATTATTTTTATCTCTAAAGTCTTAAATGTCTTTTAGCCGGCCAGTTCTTGTGTAATACTTCTCTTCTCTTCCTTTTGTTTTTGCTACTACAGAGCGGATAAACCAAGTTCTGCAAGTATCTTCGTTGGTGGTTTTGTATTGGGAGGGATAGTTGTTGGAGCATTAGGTTGTGTATATGCACCTCAGGTATGGTTGAAGTACTCACCTTATGTATCTATCACAGTTTGACCTGTTATCGTTGCATTGGGTCTGTATCCTGTGTGCTTATTGAATGGTGGATATCTTTGGTGCCTCGATCTGATGTTGTGATTCCTATTGCTATTGCTGCTCAATCTCTGCGTGCCAATGTACTTGCATGCCCTCACTTGTACGAGCCTTTATTTGTGAATTTATGATTCGTTTTGAATATTTATTCATTGTATGTCACATGGTCTTTAGAATGTTACTGCAGTACTGCTGTCTGATTATAAACGCCTTTAAGGCGTGGGTTCTACCCCGTCTCCCCCGTCCAAAGAACTACCTTCTAGAAGATACATAAAGTTATGCTTGTTAAATGATATACAGTGTATGAATTGGTTTTGGGAGATGAGATATGGATGTGGTTTGTATGCGATATATAGCTGATCAAAAGGAGCCAACTTCTTTACAGTGACGCGAAAGCATGTATTTGATTGACATATCATATCCTATTCCCAGATAAGCAAGGCACTAGCTGGAGCCGATAGAAAAGACTTGATGAGGAAGCTACCAAAATTTATTTATGATGAAGAGAAAGCTCTTGAGGTGAGATTTTTTTTTCCTGCAGTTAATATCAATGAGAAAGGAGGTCCGTTTTATGATAGTTTCTACATTTGTAGAATGGGAATTGGATCGTTAAGCAAAAAGTGGGAGTTTAATATGCATTAAGTGGAAACTTTGATTGGTCAATCCCGTATAACTTTTGGATCATGTTATTTGGGATGTTCATTATCATATTTGAACTTGTGTGTTTTCTGTTATGTATTTCGTGACAACAGAAAACCCGCAAAATACTGGCGGAGAAGATTGCGCAGCTAAATTCCGCCATAGATGACGTTTCTGCTCAGCTGCATGGAGATGATGCCCCGAATGGAGCCGCAGTGGCTCCGGACGAAATTGAAGCTTCAATATAATAATAGTTTGCAGAAGTTTTGTTAACTTGTTACATGTGTCACACTGGGAAAATAATGTTGTTAATGTTCTTCTTCTCGTGTGTTTTACTTGTTTATAAATTCAAGCACTTTATTTTTACTTTTATTATTATTGGATATCATCTCTTCCTATATAATGGTTCATGCAAAATCAATGTATACTTTTTGCTTCTGCACATTCTAAATTATTTATTGATTTTTCTTTGATTTATCTAATCCAAACATCAGAAATAATCAAGAATGTGTACTGTGACAAAGAGAGTAATGATGAGTTCATATTATACCATATATTTTATCTTAATCTTAGTATTAATTTATTGGTTATTTTGGTAGAACTTTGATACTTTGTTATGTATTTTTAATATAGGACATTCGACTTCCTCTGGGGCAAAAAAGTAATCAAACGGATGAATTTTGGAGTGATTCCAATTGGAGGATGTTCGTGTGCCTTTCAAGATGATTGTATCAAAATTTCAAATTGTTCTATAAAGTCGTTTGACCGTGGCAATCAAATAAAGGCACAGCGCGCAGCTTTCCCAAATTAACGTTTCTAGACGTTTTGGGTATTTTGAAGGTCAAGATGGCATATTTTGAGGAAGATTCATTCTGAGGATTTGTGGGAGACGTCTCAAGCTTTCAAAATAGACCTTTTGGGACCAAATCGGAGTTGATTTGGTTAGTCAAAAGTGTGATTTTCTGAGAAGTTCGAATTTCAGTTCAAATAGGAAACATTTTATTTTCTGTTTTATTATTTTATTATGTTTCCTAGTTTTATTCTAAGACCTTTTAGGGTTTTATTTTGTATTAGTATAAATAAGATATTTAGCTATTAGGAGGGGAAAAAAAAGGAGGAGAACGCACACACTACTTTAGAAGTTTCAAGTTTATTTTTAAGGTGTTTTCTATCCATGTTTTTAATAATATTTTGTTTTATGGTTGTTAGTAACTAGTTTCGTTTGCTAGGGCGAGGTCACGAGCTTTAGCAAGAATATATAGTTTATTTTCAATTTACTTCTAATATTATGCATGCAGGTTTTGAATTGTTAATCATTGTACTTTAAACTATCTATTTGTAATGATGATTGGCCACCATTAGGATATTTAGAAAAGTAATTTGATACAATTTTGGTGAAGGGTTGTCCCTGAAATTGGCGCTGGCTTCTTGTGGTTAATATGTGTAACTCCTTAGGATGGACGACACGTCTTAAGGGTTATATGGTTTTTCAGAAGGTTTTCACAAAACTTAATGAGTCTTGCATGTTCACATTCGATCTGGACGCCACAAACGGGTTGCATGTTAGATATACGTTTTATGTTGGAGGTTCCATGTAACATCCCACATCGTCAAAGGGAGTGGATCCTGTAAGCCTTATATGTATATTTCTATCTCTACCTAGTACGAGGCCTTTTGGGAGCTCAATGGCTTCGGGTTCCATCGGAACTCCGAAGTTAAGTGAGTTCGAGCGAAAGCATTCCCAGGATAGATGATCCACTGAGAAGTTCTCGTGTGAGTTCTCAAAAACAAAACCGTGAGGGCGTGGTCGGGGTCCAAAACAGATAATATCGTGCTACAGTAGAGTCGAGCCGTGATGTGGTGGGGGCCCAGGCCGGGATGTGACAATTTGGTATCAAAGCCAATCCTTGGTCGGATGTGTGTCGACGAGAACGTCGAGCCCCTAAAGGGGGTGTAACATCCCACATCACCCAGAGGAGTGGATCTTGTAAGCCTTATATGTATATTTTCATCTTTACCTAGCACGATACCTTTTGGGAGCTCAATGGCTTTGTAGTTCATCGGAACTCCGAAGTTAAGCGAGTTCGGGCGAGAGCATTCCTAGAATGGGTGACCCACTGGGAAGTTCTCATGTGAGTTCTCAGAAACAAAATCATGAGGGCATGGTCGGGGCCCAAAGCAGACAATATTGTGCTACAGTGGAGTCGAGCCTGGGATATGGTGAGGGCCCGTGCTGGGATGTGACATTCCAAGTAGGGCATACTTTAGGAAAACTTAACCTTCAAAATATACATGTGTAATTCATAAGTAATTGAAAGAATTACATAGGATTGTTAAGGTGACGGCGGAACCCTAGTGCTCAAATTTATTTTCAAAACTATTTTCTTTTGTTTTCTTTACTTTCCCAATTTATTTAATTATTTTTAATTAAATTCGTTTTTAATATTTTAGGTCATAAAATCACATCTTCCAAACTTTGTTTTCAAATAATTAATTAAGATTTGGTTTGAACATAAATTATTCATTCAATCTCTGTGGAAAACGACCTTACTTGAGCCGCTATATTACGACAACCTTGTACTCTTGCAAGTATTTTTAAGTGTTTTTATCCCTACTTTTGCAGGTGGTAAAATCCCTATCAGGTAATTACTTTGCTTAAATAGACCTTGTGCGTTGATCACTCTGCTTAATTTTACGTTTGCAAATTATAATCAACTGAATACATGAAAGTAACCCCTTGTAGGATGATGAAGTTTGTAGCTCAAATAGCTCAAATCGTCGGTCACTTTCATGCCAAATCATGTGATTGACTCTTTCTCTCTTAATATCCTTATTAAGGGAGGAAGGGTCCATGAAATAGAATGGGAAACGTAACAAGGGACGGAACTAGTTTCCATAACGTGTTTAGCAAGGGACGGAACTGTTTAGCAAGGGTTACCATTTTTTTTCTCTCTTTGACGTGCTCTGGTTCGTTCTTTTTCCCTAAGATTGTTTCATCCATCCTGTTTTTTCTCTCGTGTTCCACCCCAAATGTGAAAGACGATGCAGGAATATATTATAATATAAGGAAGTACTAGATTTTAGACCCAAAAAAACAAGAGGAGGGTAACGGTAAGAAAGTGAACAAGGAAACTCTGAACTCATGCGCTCTAGTGGGATGGTGGTTTTACTTGACGATCGAAAATGCAGAGAGTTGCCTACTCATGTGTTGAAGTATGGGCTTGATTCTAATATTTTTGTTCACCTAATTTACAAGGTGATTGAAAAAGCTCTCAAGAAATTACCCTTTCCATTTCAAATATCCTACCATTTGCTTTCTTGTCTTCAACGGACAATCCAACCCGCGTATAGACTTTCATTCCTCCCCAAAGTCTTCTATCCAAATAGAGGAAGTGTTGGTGCTAAGAACATATGGGATTGGAATCGTCAATGTTCAGTTGCAGAAATAATTAGTATTCAGTTTAAGAAATGGTGATACTATCCGTGTTCAGTTTTCAAAAATGATCAGTGTTCAGTTTAAGAAATTGTGTAGTATTCATGTTCAGTTACAGAAATATTTAGGAAGGAAGAGAGAGTAATGGACGCGCGGACCCACACGTCAGTTTTTTTATTACTTTTTAATTTTTTTATTATATTGAACTTTTGTTATTTTCATTAAAGTTTAAACCCTTTTCATTAAATAATAGTTTAGAGTGGTTTTTGGTTAAATTAAAGTTAGTCCAAGCCCTTTTAATTAAGGGAACTTTAACAAAAAGCTTCTGGTACTGTTCATTTTAACGAAAAACCATATTTTTACACTAAAAAGTCAATCCTGGTACTATTCACTTTACTATTTATTTTGTTCTTATCGTTAAAACAAAAAAATTTCAAGTTATTTCATTAGTTTTCCTTTTAATTAAAGCTTCCAAATTTAATTGGCGAACCGGTGTTTCTTAGGGCTGGGTTTATAACCATTTCGTTTATATTTTTCATTGTTTTGTGTTATAGATAGAGTAAAACTACATGGGAGGAGGAATGGAGAAGGTGATGGTGGAAGACAATGCGAAAGGATTCAAGTTTTCATTTCGTATTATTTCCTTCATTTCAACCTCCTCCCTCCCACCACCTTCTCCTTTGTCATTTCTCTCCTATGCTTTCCTTGTATCTCTAGTTCTCTACCATAAAAAATGAAAAATCTCTGTTAAGTGGGCATTCTTCCACAATGGTCCTTAAGATTGGCACAACTTCTCATTTTAGTCTCTGAGATTTGAAATCGATAGAAGTGGTCTATTCCACCATTAATCATTTTGATCATTCCGTTAAAAGTCTCTATTAAATAAGGACCAAAATGACAAAAAATACCTTCACTTTTATAAACAATGGGTCAAAATGATTTGACAAAATTTGAGAGTATTTTTGTCATTTTGGTTTTATTTAACGGAGATTTTCACGGAAAGACCAAAATGATCAACTATGGACAAACTCAGAGACCATTTGTATCAATTTTAAATCTAGCTAAGAATCATATGAAGTATTATATCCATGAAACGTCTTGACTTCGTCTTCCTCTTTTAAAACATTTACCTTATTGATATTTATTCATTGTATATTGCATGGCCTTTAAAATGTTACTGCAGGACTGCTGTCTGATTATTAATGCCTTGAAGGGGGAGCATAATATGCTTTTTATGTGGAAACTTTGATTGGTCAATCCCGCCATAGATGACGATTCTTCCCCTTTTGGGATGTTCTAAATTCCGCCATAGATGACGATTCTTCCCCTTTTGGGCTTATTATCGACGACATTCGAAGGATCCTTGAGTCATTCAATCACTGCAAGACGTCTTTTGGACGAAGTACTGATTTGGTACTGAAGTGATTTTATAAAAAGTAGGTATTAAAAAAAGCTTAGCTCAAAAATGTGTTTGGTAAACACTTAAAACAATTTATTTTCATAGTTTTGGGTGAAAAAAAAAAACTGAAAACGTGAAGCAGCAAAAATGAGTTTATTCTCATAGCACATCAGAAGCAGTTTTTTTTTTTTTTCAAAGCACAACAATACCAAATTAGTCCGAAGAACGGTAAACAAGGTGGCACATAGATTGGCTAGGGTTGGGGTAACGGTGGAAAACCCATTATTTTGGTTTGAAGAACCACCCGATGTAATCTCTGGCCTCCTCATTGAGGATAGCCCTTCATAGTAAGCTCTTTGGTGCGGGACACTCTTTTCCTTCGTTCGGGTTGAAATTTCCGGCAAGGTTTTTATGGAGACCCATTACTTGCACCCTATCCTCAATGTTGTACTTATTCAATTTCATAATCAATGAATATCGTATTTTGCTAAAAAAATAAAATAAAAAAAAACTTGTTACATGATGTTAATCTTCTTGTTCTCGTGTGTTTTACTATTTTATACATACAAGCACTTTATTTCATTTTTATTATTATTGGAAATCATC